GATTTGTCGCTGATATACAGGAATGCCTTTGATTTATGTGTGTTGATTTTATATCCTCCACTTTGCTGAATTCATTTATTAGCTTTAGTAGTTTCTTTGTAGACCCTTTTGGGTCTGCTAGGTATAGAATCATGTCATCTGAAAATAGTGATAATTTAAGTTCTTCTTTTCCTATTTTTACGTCTTTAATTTCTTTCTGTTATAAGGTTTTGGCTATAATGTTGCCAAAACATTGTTCTGCAAGACCTGTTGGCATATATTTTCATTTAGCAAATAGCAAGGGGTACAAATATATTATAAGGTAAGTATATTGAAATATACTTACCTTATAATAGATTTCAATTTTATAAGAAACAGTTTTCCAAAGCAATCTTGTCACTTATGAGCACCATTAATGTTCCAGTTCAAGTTGTTTCACTTTGTTTTTTTCCACATCATGATCATATATTCAGTCTTTCAAAATTTGAGCCATTCTCAGGAGTGTGAAGTGGTGTCTCATGGTGGGTTTAATTTGCATTTCTCTGGTGACTAAAGATGCTGAACACCTTTGCAAATGCTTGTTATTTGCATTATCTTCATTTGTTAAATGTCTGCTCAAAACTATTTCCCATTTATGTTTGATATGTGTATATGTTGAGGGAAATGATAATTGGCACATTAGATGTTGGAAGCAATTGGTATTGTAGCCAGAATTATGCAGTCAGTATAGAAAGATAAATCCAGTCAGGTCGGATCAAAGAGGCCAATTTTGAGTGAGTCTGGGAAGTTGGAGGCTGTGGACTGAAATGTTAGTTCCTTCAGAGCCCTTCCTCCACCCTTTTCAAGAACCTGCCCCTGCTGCAACCTGTTGCCAAGGTAACCTGTCCCAGGAATTGCCCCTCCCTACAGGGTTGTTAATGTTGTTAACCTGATTTTCACCTTTGGGCCATCCCACCAAGCATTCCTGGGCCTAGTCACTTATGCAGGAAGGAGGAAGACTAGAGGAAAAAGGCAGGAGAACAAAGGAAGTCTGGGACATATAAAAAGGGCAGAACACCTCACTTCTTGGGATACCAGCTATGGCCCCCTTCTCCCTCCCAGGAGAAGTCCATGTTATTCTTTTTTACATAAATCCTGCTTTATATGCTTGCCTCGGTGTGCTTCTGTCCTATTCAGACTTCAACATGTAAGGAAGTAGGACTCGTCACCTATAACAGGCAGCATCAGTATTTGCTAACATTCTAAGTGGGTTTAAAATAGAACCAATTATGCATTCTGTCAATGGGAAAATTGAATAACTGAAATAGAAAACCTCATCTCTGCAGTGCACTTTGTTGATCTGGTTCCTGTTTCAACTCTGGAATTAACTGGATCTGTGACATAGGTTTTCTTTGCCTTCTAACCAAAAAGATCTGCCCTTTAGTGTATAGACTGATCCAACCTTCAAAGAGCTTGATAGAGGATAAACATAATGGATAAGATTAAGATTAAAGTCATCTGACTTTATATATGAAAGACTATTTCCATATTTAGTAGTAGATGTTGTCATAAGTACAGAACAGACACATGCATGGACTGTTTTTGAGTTGTACAGCGGGAGTGAGCACATGCACTGTAAGGAAAGTTCTGTTCTGGAGTGTGGGCACTAGGATGCAAGGGCCAGTGTGGGCATCTTCTCTCTACCAGTATTCCCAGCACATATGCATAGCAGAACTCACCCCACCTTGATGCTAAATCATCCTTGTGTCTTGTGTTTTCCTTATCTATTTTAAAGCGGATGTCCAGAATACATTTCTGATACGTGTCAGTGTCTTTGTGGGAGGTTCCCTGAATGCACAGTTTTGAAAGTAGGCTCTGAGGTGACAGCGAAGTCCACCTTCCCTGACACCTTCTGGCCTGTGTCACAGGCATGCCTGACTGATTTAGGGCCCCAGGGAGCCAAACTCCAATCACAACGCGATGCACCTGGAACATATACTACATTAACGTTCAACGAATTTCTCCTTTCTCTTACAAAACAGTAAGGTACAGGGGCAACAGGGCTGGACAGTGCTGATGAGAGCCCAAGAGCACAGTGAAGGCCTATCAGGAACGCCACACTGTGCACGCGCCCCGGCCCCACGATGCACGCGCACGTCCCCGCGGCCCGGCCAGTGCGCGCGCACGCCCTCGCGCACACCCTCGGCTTCCTCCCAGAGCTTGGTGTCGGCGACGCGCGCCGCAGATGGAAGGGGTGCTCGCGGAAGTCCTGCTGGAGCAGAGCTGGGACCCCCGGGCCCTGTTCGGGACGCTGTGCCGAGGGGAAGCGTCCGCGGAGCGCGTGGAGACGCTGCGCTTCCTTCTGCAGCGGTTGGAGGACGCGGGCACGGA